AGATACAAGATTAAAAAAAAAAAAAAAAAAAAAAAAATCATGTAAACCCATTCTGAAACCCCAAGAAGTCCAGGAATATAGAAATACCCTCCTCCTTCACTATTTCACAGGAAACACTGTAGGCTATTTGTGTAACATTGTCCTGGGATTACATTCTAAAGTATTAATAACTGGTTACAGCTTCGTTGTAGTGCATAATAAAAATCACACTAACTTCAGTCTGAAGTGTCATTCTACAGTTTTATTTACACAACCAGTGAAAGGCATGTTCTAGAATACCAGCTTTAATCCTTTTCAAACATATCATTAATATAAGAAGCCAAATTGTAATGATATAGCAAATGACGCCACTGGTATTAATACAGGTAGCAAAGATCCACATCCAGGTGGTACTGACATAAGGAAATTTCCAAAACCAGTTGCTACCTAAGAGTGGTTGCCACTGACAAAAGCTTGAAATAACCTGTATTCACAGAGGGGTACTGGCATTGCTGCATGTCATAATTGGGACCTCTTGCAACAACTCAACAAGGAACAAGGCAGCCCACAATTGCAGAAAGCGTGATTCATGAAACATCTGAAGGGGGAAAAAAGACAGTTAGTGCAAAGACCAGGCCAAAACTCAAATATGTATCAAAGTCTCATCCCCAATACTGCCCGAGGTATTTAAGTAACCAAAAGTAAGCCTTGTGAATTCTGCTGCCTATTTCCTACGTGATTTTTCTCAAAGATTTTCTGTTAAAATCTCTTTTTGGGTATGAAAATATTTATAATAAATGTCTTTCCTTTAAAAGACTGTCTTGTTTTCAGTTTATAAGCTTCAAAAATGAAATACTTACAACTAGCAGGCTGTTCTCCATATCGTCGCATTATTTGATCATGCGTAAACTTCACAAATGCATCATATTGCTCTATAAATAAAGGTATATGTCAAATTATATGATGTGTAAAATGCTTTCCCTAATATATTAGATCTAGATGAACTCTGAAAATCCAAGACAGATAGTGAAACAATTCTAAATTGGCACTTTAACCTGACATATAGCCTCAGTAATAAAAAAAAAAAAAAAAAATATGTATCAAATGGAAAGAGTACAGTAGTAGGTTTTAGTCCAAATCACATTTGCCCTGGGTGGGACTTATTTCCTAACCTATGAAAGGGCTTAAAATAAAAAGATATCTTTCTACTCTGAAAGTTCACTCTAAGTGGTCTATGAATGGCAATTTACCATAATGAGAGGAAACAGGTCAATGAAAGCTTACTTAATAAAATATACAACATTCAAAAACATCTACCTGTAACTTAATCAAATGCCACAAAAAATATTAGGTTAAAAGGAAAATAAGCTGCAGAGCTAAGCATATTCTCTTGCCTACATTATGTATCTTGATTTAACTCCTTAAGAATCTAAAAGCTTACAGTATCTATATCCAGTAAAATCCATGGCTTAAAATTTGAAAACTTAAAAACATTCTGATTAAGTCACCATACATAATAAATTTTATTTATTGCACTTGAGATTATCAAAAAAAATTTTTATTAATCCCAAATGCCAGATTATTATAAAACTAAAGTTTGATACTCTAAAATGATGTACACCATGCCAGTTAGATATTTCTTTCAAGTGTCTAGACTGATGGCTAAGTTATCATAGAAGATTCAAAGTTCAAAAATAAACAGCCAATTTGAGGTAAACAGCTAAAATCTGTTTAGCACAGGGAACATCAAAAGAAAAATCTAGGTCACTAAAACTGCTGCTGTTTTACATGGCTAGCTAATATTTTTTTCTCAAGGTCACTAAAGGTGGGTCCTGAGCTATAAGAAAGTTCATTTCCTTTCTTGAACTGAAATTCCCTGGTTCTTAGAAAATATACTGTACCAGTGTATAGAAAGAGTAATCTAAGTGACTTGAACTACACGCAGGAAGTAACACATTTCTTACCATGGGTTTCTGGAAAACTCTAAAATAAACTCATCTCATACCTGCAAGTTTTGTGTTCAATATTTCTTCATACTCTTCTCGAACTTTCTCTTCACGTTCTTTCAACAAACGTTCACAGATCATCCCAACCTGCCGTAGAGTGAATAAAGGCTGTTCTTTTTTTAATGGTGAGGATGTTGCAGATGAAGTCCCTATATAACAAAAAAACAGCACCTGATTTAGAGCCATCATACAAAGCATCTTCTAACTTAAGACTTTATTTTTATCTTTTTAATATAGTGTTGTTATGAATCAGAATCGACCTGATGGCAACACGTTTAATATTCATATATAAAAAAGCATTTTCTATCAATTTTCACCACAGCATTTCCCAAGCAGTCTTAAAACAGGTTTAAAGTAATAATTCTATCAGCTTCTGACTGGAAAAAATCATACCAAAATGTAATCAAAAAATAAGGGGAAAACTTAACACTCTAAAGGTGAGTAGAGAAATTTACAATTTCTGAACACAAAACTTGTAACAAACATTACAATGATGCGCCCCATTACAAAACTTCCATCTCCGTTCTGGCAAGTACCACACCATAGTGTTTTAGTGACTAACTCTCCTATAATAGAAATAACATCTCTAGTCTAAAGCTTAATGTTATTTGTTCCCGATTAACAAATGATATTTATGCCTGTGAGATGACACTGCTATACTTCAAAGACATAATATCCTAACAGCCCACAACAAACTAGGTATTATTCTACCACCATTTCACTGCAACACTCCTGTTTTCCAAAACCCTTAATTTAAAAGGGTTTTTTTCACTCTAAAAAAGAAGAGGAAAATAGATTACATGTTAATACAATAAAACCTTTATGTTTAAAAAAAAGTTACAGAAGAATGCGTACAGCACGACCCCATTTAAGAGACATTTATTCTTGAAAACATTCTGGAATCTGGATACTCATCCCTTGCTGAAAGAGTAAAATTGGTTCAATAGGTTTTTGAACACAGCGGCCATTAACTCCCATTTAATTAACAACAGCATTTCTATCATTGGAAAAGTAAGCTCAAGCATTAAGCTGATAATGATAGGCTCGAAATTATATAGTCATACAACTACACTGTTACCACACCAAGAGTCCTAAAGCAACTAAACCCCAGAGCAGCTAGTGTTTGTCAATTTCATTAGCAAACAAATTCCCTTGGGCAAGTTATTTTTATACCCACTAGGAATTTTTGTTTTTTGATAATATTTTGTGGTAATAACAAAATTAAACAATTTTAAGACACTAAGCAGAAATCTATGAGAAAGTGCATTTCTGTGATCTCTTGAAGGAACACTGATAATTTTTATTTATCTGAATTTGGTACTTTTTCTAATGAAGTTTTTGTGTTTAATTATATTAAAAGATCACTTTGCAAGAAAAAAGAAAAGGAAATCCTGACAAAAATATGCCTAACATAACAACATTTAAATTTTATGGTTAAGAGTTCTTAAAGATTATTAATCGAATGCCCGCCTGGCATTATCAAATGGTGAGATACTCCATACTCCATATAAAATAATGCTTTCTTTACAAATGTATTCCTCTTTGAGTACTACTTAAGGCACTTTGATTTTCCAAAAATCATTATTTCCCACTTCTTAACAAAAAACATCTGAAATTCATCTTTTTGAGAACTCAGGATTATGATCATCATTCATTAGTAACACTGCTGCAATTTTTTATATACATGCCCATACACACTTATTTGCTATCAATGGCTTCTTGCTCTGAGTATCTGCCTCTGGCATCCTCTCTCTATTCCTCTCCTTTGCCTTGATCATTGTAACCTGCCATGGCTAGGACCAGTTAACTATGCTTGTTAGGACTGTGTCTATCGAAGAATAAAGTGCGCAGTAGTCCATAACTAGGAAGGCTATATTCACTTACTTTCAAATTCCCAGCTTAGTTAAGGCTGCCAGTTAATTGATCGTCTGAAGTAAACTGATTAATAAACGACAATGGTCTTGGTTTCCTGCTGACAGTCTTGTCTCCATCCTTATGTGCCTTTACCATGTTTCACCCACTTATATTTGGCCCCTAAATCGGCAAGAGTATTGTAGTAATTTTAGTTTTGAATAATTTCATGTTTTCTAATCTAATTTTATATGACTGTTTCATGACCTTTGAATGATTTTTTTGTTGTAGTTCTGTTAGGTTTTCCTAATGAGAAGGCAGGCAGGCAGGCAGGCAAGAGAGGCAGGTAAAGGCTGTCACTAGAAAAAATATTTTGCTGATAACTTTACTAAAGGTTAAGAACCACTATTGATCGTCTTTTGTCAGCAAGAAGCTACTACTCAACTTTCCTCTGCCTTCGCTTCCGAGTCCTCAATTTTCTGCTTTAAAAAGAAAGGTATATTTGCAAACCACTCCCTCCAACAAAAGGAGGGTATAAACAGATACAAGATTAAAAAAAAAAAAAAAAAAAAATCCACTTTTAAGAATCCATACCAACAGGATGTGTGTGAGGGTATGTACATGCACAGGGATTGCAGTGCAATGGGTTTCTCTTATATATGGCCTTTCTGACCCTGGGTTTGTAGTTCTGCCAAAATGATTTGCTAGGCCACAATCTTGCAAAGGGACTGGTTAGTCTACTATGCAAATAGGGTGCATAAAACCACCCAATAAGATTAAGTGACCTTCTGGGAATTGGACGATTACTATGCAAATTAAGTGACTATGATCTACCAAGGGGATTGGTCACTTTTGCCATCCTGTTAGGCTTTTAATAGTGCCACAATCCCACAGAGGTGGAGGAGGATCTCACTACCATCAAGAACAGCCTGGAGTGGAGCATGTCCTTTGGATCCAGGGTCCCTGCACTGAGAACCTCTTCCATCCAGGAGACAGCTGTTAACACTGGAGACAGTGTGAGATGACATAGGATGGCGGTGGCAGCAGCAGCACTGGCAGCGGGAACCAGAAGACTAGCACAAGGTGGCAGCAGAGGGCCTGCCAACCCACAGAGGACCCACAGAGCTAAAGAGAGCTGAACGTCTTCGGGCAGGAGGCTTGCTGGCAGAGTAGGGTGCCTCCTGGCACTTGGTGGTGGTGCCAAAATAGCTGTAACCCTTGCCCAAGTGCAGCAGAGGCCAAGAGAAGGCCCAGCGGTTGGCACAGCCAAGCAGCAGCTGAGAGCTGCCTTGGTTGGAAGCTCCTGAAGGACAAACTGTATCCTGTCTCCTGTCTCCTGAGTTGTAGCCTGTTACTTCCCTAATAACCCACATAATTGTTGAGTATGGTCTGTAAGTTCTGTGTAGCCATGGCAATGAATTATCGAACAAAGAGGTAAAGTGTGCCGTGGGAAGGAGGGCTGGTCCAGAAAGAGTGAAAAGGTTGAGAGAGTGGAGGTATGTCTGACCTCCACCTCACAGGAAATCAGCTTTGTGCTGATCTTCAGTCTCATTCCCCCTCATGAATTTAGACTGCTTCTGATGACAGTAGATTACAGGGATATTTCTGCACATACTATAAATTTTGAGTCTATCAATAATGAATAGTTAAATAATTATGGTAAATCCACAGAATGGCATAATAGTCAGTTATGGCAAGGTATACCTATATCTAACAAAGAAGTACATAGCATATTGCTGACTTATAAAATGCAGGCTACAAATCATAACATTTATAAAAGTCCAATTTGGGAAAATTATATACAGGTATGCATTACTTGTGTATTTTTTTTCTTAAGGGGTAGAAATAGGAGCTTAAAAGACTAAAGACAATTTGGAACACATGTTCCCCATACTGGTAACATTTCCTTTCACTTTTTAAGTTTATTATTACCTGGTGAAGCTGGTCCGCTGAGGAGAAATGCATGTGGCTGTGCATCAGAAGTACAACATGGATCTGTCTGTTGGAAACTAGTTTCTAAATGTCTTCTCTTCTGCATACGTTTATACTCCTGTTTTATATTGTACAGAATTTGTTCTAAAAGAAAAAAAGTTTAAAATTTGGCAAGATAAAAACTTTCAAGACTGGGTTTCCAACAATTACTTAGTAGAATCAATCTATCTAAAATATTCTCTCTTCAAATAATATCTAGAATACTGACATTCTGTGAGGAAGTAGTTTCAACATAAATAGAGGCACTCATTCAGAAACAGCACATACATACCACTAGGAATACAGCTATTTCAACAATATCATTCTTGTTAGCACTGATTAACAAAAAAATTTAAAGGGCTTTCATTCAAAATAAAGGTCAGAGAGCCCATGCATTAGAACATACATTTTACTCTCTTAAGAGTCCCCAACTCAAATTTTATTTATTCATACACTAGAAATATTAGACTTTTCCACACCCACAGATAATTAGAAGGGATAAGACTGTGCATTTAAGCACACATCAGTGAGAGGTGACATTAGGCAGCAAAATGATACAGTAGACAGGAGTTAAAAAATATTATTGTACATTAAATGGTCATGGCTATTAATATTAAGCTCAACAGAATTTAAGAATATTATAGCATTAACAGCCAAGAGTGGTTCTGAATCTTGGGGGCTGGGAGAAACCCATGTAAAATGATGCATAACAGGTACCCAATAAATAAGATACACGATCACCACAGTGCAATTATCTTGACCCACAACCATCAAAACGGGGGTAATACTGTGTCCAGTATATCCTTAAGGCCAGAATGATTCATTTTGGAAAGATTTCTAATTCAAAATAGTTACCATTTGACCTCTCCAGAAAATCCCTGCATGAGGCTTCTACTCTTCGAGAGACTTTATCACATCCACCCCCCATAGCTCCTAAATTAATGTTATCCATGTGAAACTAAATCCCAAGAAGTTTACTAATCCAAATCCAAAGCAAGATCAAACAAATAAAACTTTAAGGTGGCAATAAAAAGATTCATAGGTGTAACAGAGTCTAACTTTAATATTACATTCTACAATGAAGCTTAAGAAATGAAAACTCAATTGAAGGCTAAAGATTTATGTAAAGTGACGACAATCCTTTTGTAAATTTAATACTGGGGATTTTCTTTGGTATATACTTATTTTTTACCTGTCTTCTCATTTTATATCACTCCCCTCGTAGAGAAGCACTCTTAGGACTTTTGAGAGATATACTCTAAAGGACATCAAATCAGTCCCTTGAACACATTACATACTGTCAATTTTGTTATTTCAACGGGGGGAGGGAGGATGCAAGGTATAAAAGATCCAGTAAGCTAGCATTTATGTAAATTTTGCATGTAAACACATTTAAATATACATGAATGTGTGCTTTAAGTATAAAATCACACATTGGAATGATAACTTCAGGATGATTGTGGGGTATTTTAATTTGTACTGAACATTTTTCAAAATGTTAGCATATGTTTAATATGGGTTATGCTCATTTTCAGTTCTTTTCTATATTTATAAATCCAGGTACTTTTATAAGCAAAATTACCAATGTGAAATAGAAAGGCTTTCTATTGAGCTCTAAGCATACCCTGATATAAATGGGCTTCCTAAGACTCACCAGAGGTGTCTTATAAAACTAGTGCAACATTCTATACTTATCTGAACAAGCACAAATATCCCTACTTTTTAACAGCAGAACTCTGTTCTGTAGCAATATTCTAAAAAGTTATAAAGGCAATGATATTTCTATCTCTGGCAGACAGCAAGCTTCATTCTTTTATCACTTTCTGTTCAAAGCTACCATCATCCTGATTTAAAGTACCTTCAAAACATCTTAAAAGTTTATTCACAACCAGAGGCTTCAAAAGGTGCTTCAAGAGGCACTCGCCCAGAGTGGAGTTCTGGTAGCGCAGTGGTTAAGAGCTTGGTTGCTAACCAAAAGGTCGGCAGTTTGAATCCACCAGCTGCTCCTTGGAAACCCTATGGGACAGTTCTACTCTGTCCTATAGGGCCACTATGAGTCAGAATCAACTGGACAGCAACAGGTTTGGTTTTTGAGCCCAGAGTAACTGGACCTTAATACCTATATTTTGTGTGACTGATGTACACTTTTTGGTCACCAGACAGCTGTTTCTCAGGTGACTTTAGTCTTCCTTTTGCTTCAAAAAAAAAAAAAAATTAACTGAAGCACAATTAAGATGTATCAAAAGAATACTTTTAACATAATTTGTTCAATTGATAGCCTCAACAGTTATCTACCTAATCCAGGATTAAGATATGGTAAAACTTTTTTAAATTTAGCTTTACAAACCTCCATACATCTGATACTTAGATACATCACTACCAAGCTAAAGAATTTTAAGGTATCATTTACAAGCAACAAAATTCACCAATTCTAAATGTACAATTTACTGAGTTTCAACAAGTGAATTCAGTCTTGGAACCACCACAATCAAGTACAGAACTTTTGATCACCCTAAATAGTTCTCTCATGTTCCTTTGCAGTTAATTACTCCCCCAATCTGCTGTCCCTATATAGTTTTGCCTTTTCTAGAATTTCATACAAACGAAATAATACACTGTAGTTTTTGTGGCTGACTTAACTTCACCACTCAGCAAAATGTGTATGATCTTCATCATGATACTGTGTGAATCAGTAATTCCTTCTTTCTTACTAACTGGATCCAACTGGAATCCAATTGTGGGCAGGAGCATCCAATATCCATTGTATGTATATACCGCAATTTGTTTATCCAATCTCCTTTTAATGGACCCTTGGATTGTTTCCAATTTGGGGCTATTATCAGTAAAGCTGTTATGATATTCAAGTACAAGTCACTGGGTGGAGAGGTTTTCATTTCTCATGGGTAAACATACAGTTTTACTTTGTAAGAAACTGCCAAACTTTCCAGAGTGACTGTACCAGTTTGCATTCTGACCAGCAATGTATGAGAGATTCAGCTGCTCTACATCCTTGCCAACACTTGGTGTTGTCAGTTAAAGGGCTAAAGAATCTTGTGTGGTATTGCCTGCACTGCTTTTTACATCTAATATGATTCGACTATGTCATCTAAGCCTTACTGTGCCCTCAAATGCTCTAATACTGGTAACATGTGATCAACAATGTTATGCAGTGAATGGCCCAATTTAACATGGCCAAGATCTCAGCAGCACAAGGAGCAAACAGCTAACTGCCAGCTACAAACTCAATTTAATCTCCGTTTAAAGGTATAAAGTTTTAAAGCTGCTAACTCAAGAAACTTCTCCAAATTCACTATTCCACAACTCATATTTCTAAGCTCAATCTAGATATTTTGATGACTTAAGTTTCTTTTATAACAGCTGTACAGAAGCCTTCCATATATGGATAAAGTACATAGACGTACTTAGTAGTAAACTACAGTCATGCGCCACATAACGTCTGTTCGGGCAATGTCCGACCACAGACGTCTGTGGATCCATAAGGTTTATTATAAGAGTTCAAAAATCCCAACTGGAAAACGGGATGTAGTGAACATAACTGGACACAGTGCAAATAACAGCTTCCCACACATAATGTGTATCTCATGTCTCTTGTATACACAGCGATTGCACTGCCAGGCGTATAATAGTTCAGTACATATATAAACTATAATACATATGTCTTGATAGTCATAATAAAACACCTAAGTTACTGGATTAGGTACTGTACTTTATATTGTTAATGTGAATTTTCCCTACTTACAAATAAAAAGTTTACCGTATAACAGTATGCTTTGACTCACAGGCAGTAGCATCCAATCTTGTGTTCACACAATGTCCAAATCACAAAATGTCCTATTTCACAGAATGTATCGAGGACTTTAAGCGACGCATGACTGTACTTAGATCTAGCCATCAAACTACTGAGTAACATTTTATTCCAAGTACGTGTAAAATCTGGTATTGTGCTGCCAACACAATTTATGGTTCATTAAAACAACAAAAAAGTCAAATAAAGCTTCACTTGCACTATCAGTTGCATACTCCAGTTTTAATCATCTAGTATTCCTATTTGCATTATGAAGTACAGACTGAATTTACAGCAGTCACTTAGAGCAAAATAGGTATAGTTATCTTCATAACAATCTACATTCTAAATGGCTGTATATCCCTTTTTAAAATCCTAAAACTATATTACTTGTGTACCATGAAATACAGCTAAGACTTTTTACCACTATACTAGGTTAGGTGAAAGTCAATTATCAGCAAATTCCATGACTCATGGCATTTTCATGCCCAAATCTAGTAAATGCCATTGAAATTGCGAATAAAATTCTCCTCTTTAACAGGTAGGAGATATCAGTGAGGCAGCACTTGATCTTCTGCAATAATTTAAAAAAAAAAAAAAACTAGGTAAATGTGAAAAGAAAAAACCTGGCTAAGGGGCAATATTAAGCCTACTCTCAACCTCCTCCACCTCCCCACTTACTATTTTTTAACTTTTCTTAGTTGCCACTGATTACTTAAGAAAACCTGGACACAATGAATAAGGCCAACAATAGAAACAAGAGAAAGCAGTTGATGGGATATAAACTAACAGTTGATGAGGGCAGGAGAAACAGCATCAAGATTGGACTGACAGCATAGGGAAGATCATGGAATTAGAAGCAACAGAAAACGTGTTAAAAGCAGAACCATATCAAGAGTCCATAACACGAGCTTTAAAAATTTGTGATACGTAAACTTTTGCTCCAAATCCATAAAGCCTTATTTTTTTCCTACTGACATCATTACTAGATCAAATATTAAGTTTTCATAAACAATTTTAAGTTTAGGTGCCTAAGAGCCTTTTCTATCACTATATGCCAATAAGATCATTCATTTCTATTATGGAGTATCCTTGAAAAAATGTAAAGTGAAAGTGCATCTAAACGGACAACTCAAACAATGGGATTAAAAAATCTTGGAAGTCTGTCAGTTCTAGGCAAGAACACAAATGATTTGGGAAACCTATACATAATTAAGTATAGAAAACCAGCAGTAACTAAAGACCTAAAGTTAAACTGTTTCAAATAAAATAACAAATCTAAACCTCTAAACTATATAAT